ATGCCATATGTTCATGTTGTTTCCTAGTGATCCGTGCCTCTTTTGAGGATGATCAGTAAGGATGTTTTGTTAACATTATGGTGCTCTATCCATCCATGTCTTTGTTTGCATTTATGGAGCACCCTAGCTTGAGTCAATCGAGTTCTACTTTTTCTATAAAATGTTCTTGCCAGATTATTAACATGTTTAGCGATTTTGCCGAGGTTGTTGCTATTGATCCGTCCATGCTATGTTGTTGTTCTTGCCATTTCTAGCTTCTATGCCATGTATTCGTGATGGGTGTATGCTTAGTTTGTCATGCCATGCTCTATAGTGAGTGCATCGAGCTCGTAAACATGCCTACTCGTTAACTGTTTTGCATGCTCCAGTTTTTCACCAAGTCTGAGATCTGTTTATGTTTTTTCCATGTTCACATGCTTGCAATTGTATTTTCTGATCCCTTTTGGCTCAAGGTCACTAAGGGAATTTTGTTAAGTGCTTTGAGTAGCTCCATGCCATGCCTTGCTTTGCCATGTTAATTTCCTGTAGCATGTACTTTTCATGCTCTAAAGGGTGCTTCCTGATGATAAATTCCAGACTTGTGTTAATTTCACTAAGTCTGAAACCTGTTATCATTTGCACTTTTGCCATGCTTGTTTGAACCTGTTAATGAATGAATTAGCCGTAGCTCAGTGTTCATCTTTTCTCCAGCATCATGAGTGGACCCCTGCCATGTATTTTGTTGTCTTGTTTGAGTGTTGTAGCTTATTTATCTTGATGCATTTAGATGACTACTTGCTGTTTATCGCAGACCGGTACCATATTTGTTTTGCTTGCCATTTCCAAACCGTGCACCCGATTCCGGTAATCTTTATATCTATTTCAACCGAAATCACCTCACCTTTCCAGTGGAACTCTTGGATTTCCATATTTAGGCCAGGTTCAATCATTCCTTTCCAAATCATGCATATGCATCACATACCGCATCTCGCATATCATACCATGTCCATGTGTTGGTTGTTTACTATGTTGTGTGCTTTTTCCGGTGTTTGCTTCTTCGAGTTGGTTCCGATAACGTTGCGTTTGTGAGGACCCGTTCGACTACGTCCGTGTGTCTTCTTCATGGACTCGTTCTTCTTCCTTGCGAGATTTCAGGCAAGATGACCATACCCTCGAAATCACTTCTATCTTTGCTTGCTAGTTGCTCGCTCTTTTGCTATGCCTATGCTGCGATACCTACCACTTGCTTATCATGCCTCCCATATTATTAAACCAAGCCTCTAACCCACCTTGTCCTAGCAAACTGTTGATTGGCTATGTTACCGCTTTGCTCAGCCCCTCTTATAGCGTTGTTAGTTGCAGGTGAAGATTGGAGTTTGTTCCATGTTGGAACATGGATATTTTGTTGGGATATCACAATATCTCTTATTTAATTAATGCATCTATATACTTGGTAAAGGGTGGAAGGCTCGGCCTTATGCCCGGTGTTTTGTTCCACTCTTGCCGCCCTAGTTTTCGTCATATCGGTGTTATGTTCCTAGATTTTGCGTTCGTTACGCGGTTGGGTTATAATGGGAACCCCTTGACAGCGAATAAAACTCTTCCAGCAAGGCCCAACATTGGTTTTACCATTCGCCACCTAGCCTTTTTTCCCTTGGGTTCTGTAGACTCAAGGGTCATCTTTATTTAAACCCCCGGGCCAGTGCTCCTCTGAGTGTTGGTCCAACCTGTCAGCTGCCGGTGGCCACCAGGGGAAACTCTGGGCTAGCCTACCGGAACCTTGGACAATCCGGTGTGCCCTGAGAAAGAGATATGTGCAGCTCCTATCGGGATTTGTCGGCACATTCGGGTGGCTTTGCTGGTCTTGTTTTACCATTGTCGAAATGTCTTGTAACCGGGATTCCGAGTCTGATCGGGTCTTCCCGCTAGAAGGAATATCCTTCGTTGGCCGTGAGAGCTTGTGATGGGCTAAGTTGGGACACCCCTGCAGGGTTTTGAACTTTTGAAAGTCGTGCCCGCGGTTATGGGCAGATGGGAATTTGTTAATGTCCGGTTATAGAAAACCTGAAGTTGACCTTAATTAAAATACATCAACCGCGTGTGTAACCGTGATGGTCTTTTTCCGGCGGAGTCCGGGAAGTGAACACGGTGTTGGAGTTATGTTTGACGTAGGTTGTTTTAGGATCACTTCTTGATCATAGTTGTTCGACCGTGCTTTTGCCTTCTCTTCTCGCTCTCATTTGCGTTGTTAGCCACCATATATGCTAGTCGCTTGCTGCAGCTCCACCTCATACCTTTACCTTTCCCATAAGCTCAAATAGTCTTGATCGTGAGGGTGTGAGATTGCTGAGTCCCCGTGACTCACAGATACTTCCTAAACCAGCTTGCAGGTGCCGTTGAACCGTCCAGATGACGCAACCAAGCTCAAGGAGGAGCTCAATGAAGATCTTGTCCTTTGTGTTGTTTCGTTATAGTTGATCAGTAGTGGAGCCCAGTTGGGGCCGATCGGGGACCGTGTCCCTTTTGGGGTAGTCGTCTTTTATTTTGGGTTCCGTAGTTGGGCCTTGATTGTATTTGGATGATGTAATGCTTTATTCATGTAATTGTGTGAAGTGGCGATTGTAAGCCAACTATGTATCTTTTTCCCTTATGTATTACATGGGTTGTGTAAAGATTACCTCACTTGCGACATTCCTTTCAATGTGGTTATGCCTCTAAGTCGTGCTTCGACACATGGTAGATATAGCCGCATCGAGGGCGTTACATTTGTCCAGAACCATGCTGCGAGACGTGGTCGAGCAAGATGGGATTTGCCCCTCCGATCAGGAGAGATATACCCTGGGCCCCTCGTGTGATCCGACCAGGATAAACATGGCCATGCGACAAGGATTATGAGATAATCCGGTTTGTGGTCGGCATCACTGGAACGAGAAAGAGGTCGGGCTAGCACAAGGATGACAGACTCGCCTTGAGCTCGACAACATATATCGTGTGGCAAAAGGAATGGAAGTGTGATGTACAGGTTCGCTAACCAGCTTCATAGTCTGCTTGGTGTTCGACATGCCTTGCTAGAGGCCGCTACCAACCGTGCAGTCCGGAGGTGATCCGAACTACGACCAAGCCGACTTGAACCTAAGGGGTCGCGCGCTTAAGGGAAGGAACCTACGAGGTCGGATCCGAGGACACTGGTCGGATGTGATCCGAACTGTATTCAGATTGTGGCCGAGTAGACTTATGGGCTTTAGGGTCCGTGTGAGGCCCAAGTGTTGAGCCCGCGACGGACGCCTATATGTAGTGGAGGTGCCGCACACTCACGGGGCTGATCGCTTCGGCGTTGTCACTAGGGTTTGCATGTGTTGCGAATAGACACCTCCACTGCCGCCGGTTGTGTGATCGTACCTAGCAGTCCACCGCACGATGTTCCTTCTGCACGCGTGGATACCGTTAGAGGCGGTGCACTTGCGCCACTCCGGCGAACCTGTATGTGGGAACCGACCACCGGTTGTACGAGGGAGATCGGACGAGGAGGAGACGATCCACGCGGACGCGCTGCCCCAACTCTTCTTCCGCTGCACGGCACTGCGCGTCTAGTGGTAACGAACTGTGATCCATCTCCGTAGTATGTTCTTGGCTATTTTGCGCGTAGGAAATTTTTAATTTGCAGTCGACGCACCCTACTGTAGATCCCAACAATTGTGGCCTTCTTTGGAGATGGATTTGGTTGGATATACCATGGCGGGGTCCGTTGTTGCTTGGTGATGGCATTCCCAGCTGGTGACTGTAGAAGTGCATGCTCTAGCCAATGCAACCAAAAGACCGATCTGATGAAAGATACTAGGCAATACATTTATACGTTAACACTCCCCCTCGTGTGTCGCTCCCTCAGACCTAAACATGAACCGAAAGTGGGCTGCAATTTAATTGCGCCAGCCAGATCTTGAACTCAAGACCTCTTACGTCAACAGTGTCAGTCTTCCTCTCTCCTCAGAACCGGCATGTTCTTGTCCCCGGTGATTCATTCACAGAGGAGGACCTCAGCATCTTCGGCTCCATGCCCCAGTGTTTATCTTCATTGTTCGTAGCGTGTGAGGCTTAGTTTGTTGTTGCCAACGCATTATATCTTACCGTTTTTTCCTTCTTTTTGCCTATGGGCGTCCTTGTAATTTTGGCCGGTTGATGCTTATGTTAATTCATCGTCGGGCTCGGTCGATGTCTTTTCTCTAAATAAAAATGATGACAATTTATATTGTGGGAGGGTGGGTGGCAATTTCTTTAGAAACACATGACATCTTCTCGGAAGAAGAAAATAATACGACAAAAAGGCAAGATTTACCATTGTTGAACCTATTTTATTTATTTATGTGGCCGTATGCATCGTTCTGATGCAGAAGCCGGAGAGTCCCCTCTTTTCTAAAAAAAACATAAACTTGTCATAAAAAAGGTTCGCTTGCCATTAGACCTGGCCATGGACAGCTCGGCCCGGCCGGCCCGAAAAAGCCCGACCCGGCCCGGCCCGACGCTGCTCCCGGGCCGGGCCCGGGCCCGTCATTTTTGCAGTTTTCTGAAGGGGGCTGGCGGGCTTTTGCATGTTCAGGCCGGGCTTGGGCCCAAAAACTAGGCCCGATGGCCGGGCCGGGCCGGGCTCAGTCCCAGGTTTTTTGGCTCGGGCTTGGCTAGGCCCGGCCCGAGGTTTGGCCAGGTATACTTGCCATCCCCTTCCCAACCGACGTTCGCCAAAAGATAAGTTTTTTCTTTTGATTTCTCTTTCCTCCACCTTGACAGATATTCTATGACAGATATTCTATGTGACACTGATAGCACCATTTTGCATGCCCCTAACTCGTGTTAAAGAAAATCTTCTTAGTTGGTCGTTTTGATATTAACATAAACACGTGAAGAATAGTAGTGGCGGTTCCAGTACATATAGCCAGCTTTTTTGTTGACAGAGAAGGTAGACGATAAATTAGGTAACTAGTACTATATAGATCGATGCGAGGAGCAATTAAGGAGGTAGCTAGCTACTAGTAGAGGTTGATGGAGGAGACGGCAAGGTAGGAGGCGATGAGCTCGTCGTCCTCCACGGCCAGCGCGCCCTGCATTGCCGGCCACCACTCCGGCGGCATGCTGCTGCTGCTGCCGGCGTCGTTGAGCAGAGACACGTCCGCCGTCGTCGTGGTCGTCGTCGGATCCTCCGGCTGATCTGCTGCTGCGTCGTCGTCGACGTTGCGCGCGAAGCGGCCCTTCACCCTCGGCCGGCTGTCCGCGAGCGTCTTCCGGCAAGCGTACTAAAAACCAAAACACAACACACAGAGTTGACACGACGACGAGTATACACGCACTCAACGTGGCATGCATCGTAGTACTAGCTACCGACCAGACGACGAGACTGCCAAAGATCAACGTACCGTGATCTTCTTCTGGAAGTTGCGTTGGTTGCGCTTGGTGCGGTACTTCTCGATGCGCTCCCGCCGCTCCTCCGCGCTGTACCGCCCCACCGGAGCCGGCCCCGGCCCCGGCCCCGGCAGAGCTTGCAGGTCTCCGGCGCTCATCACACGCTGCATCGACTGGGAGTAGTAGTGCTGCTGCTGCTGCTCTTGCAACATCAGCAGATCACCGTAGCTGCTGGACGCCATGGAGGGGAGCAAGGGACCATTGCCGCCGCCGCTGCCGCTGTTGCTATAACAAGGAGCTGAAGACGATGTGCTCCAGTGATACATCACCGACTGTCGTGGACTCGCGCCTGCGCTGTCGGTCTACTGGCTACTCTTCGTTGGGTGGTGTAACCGGCATGGAGATCCACCACTCTATATATGTGTGCGCCCAGTATGTACAGCCAGTGCTATTGCTCTGTACGTCTGGCGTCCTTAAGACGCAAGTCAACTCTGATTTGAAACGACCTACTACTACTACCTTGTGCGATGACACCATTCCAGTGACGATATAAAGTCGTGGCAAACACATACCATAATTCTATCTTTCCTGGAACAACAATACGTGGGTACTACACTACTGGAGACATGCAGATACAAGCTATACCAAAAACAAGCTGGCAAGCATACATGACCTCCCTCATGTTACGCGCAGACCAGCTCAATGCAGGAGGCACCATCACCAATACATGCAACTTTACTGACATTGGGGAATCTCAATCGATTGTGGATACACGGCACAAGCAGGATAAATAAAAGCTGGCAGTCACGACTCAATATAGCAAGAATGTGGGTTAAGGGCAGCACCGGAGGATGAAACTTGCATCCTCTCCTCCCGTGTACGTGGCTTGATTTGATTGGAACAAAATAAGGCCCGGCCCCACCCCCTTAAAATCAGGGGGGAGATGATTATATTAGAAAGAAAAAAGAAAAAAAAACAGCCGTTCGATGAGGTGGGAGCACGGGAAAGGAGCAGGCAAGCCGGATCCAGCACTGGAGACATGAGCAAGTTGGGGGCCATCTCCTACTCTTCCCACTCAAACCCTTAAAACCATATGCCTTTCTTTTCAGCACCTACACTACACATGCACTGTGCTCAACTTGCAATTGACTACACAGCAACAAACAGGCTCTGCCACTTTGCTCCGTTCAGCAAAACCGCGATTCCGTGGGGCTAGGCATGCCAAATATTTGGCTGCTTTTAACTTCCCAACATTCCTAATCATGTGTTAATCGGAACAATGGAAAGCATGGGACGCAAAGGTAAAGGTCTCGCGTGTTTATTTATGTCCAAAACTGCAAAAACTAAGATGCACATGAACCTCTCCCTCACTGGACTGATGACCATTGATCGACACGGAATGCAAGTGTGAAAGACAGTCCTTGATTAGACTTTGTCCCTCGAAAGTCTGCGCCACTACTATCATTACCTTCGAAAGTGAATCTCTCGAGACTACTTCAGTGGAGAAGAATCATTAACACTTTTGAAAATTCCAAGCTACAAGATAGACCCCCACAAGGATCTGTGTTGTTTCAAGCATCTAGTTGACACAAGTTTGATGCTACAGATCCAGGACGCTGTTTTCAGTTGGCTATTGGTTGGTAAGATCACTGGAAGTGTCCACAACCAATTGCAAGACTCCCTTCTCCTATAATGGCACATCCTCTGATGAATCCGTACAGTACCCCACTCAAGAGCCTGACGACACGAGCTAGTCAACCTTCAAGTGGCCTTAGCCAACCGACAAGATAAAGTCAAAGCGCATCAGGATATCATATTGCAAATAGATCCGCTTGCCTTTGGTATGTAGCAAAATTCTTGAAATGTATACTGCCAACAGTTGTTATGATTTTCTTCTAGATACAACCTGCAGAGATGTCAACACAAGAGTTACATTGCATCCAGATGAGTTAAATCATTGACGACTTGGTGTGTCGAGAGAGAAAAAACAAGAGGATCACGAGGGAGAAAGGAGCCTACACTGAGGCAGTGGCTGTTTGTCCATGAATATAGGATAACAAAAACAAGTGGGACTATTAGGATAAAGCGCAGTTATCGTAATTTTTACTTTCTGCTAGCAGGTCAACTGAAAAATAGTCACACCACCATTGAATGAGTTGGGATGCAATAATTGTTCAGTTTGTGTATAAAGAATATATAGAATGGGCAACAGACTAGATAGATAAGTAATTATTCCAAGTATTGGTATTAAGAGCCAAAAGGTTGTGCCAATGTAAATTTACTCAACAGATACAATATCATAAGATACATCACAATTGATATGTAATATGAAGGTCAGAAGGGACAACCAATGTGCTATTTCGAATGTCATATGATTTGGTAGAAACGAAACTAAGTTGACGAAGGCTGATAAGACTTCTCTTTGCAGTGGCATGCATGATACGGAGAAAAGATTTCTGTTCTGCCCCCACATCGCCCTTTGGGCATCTGTGGGGTGAAGCCTTTATAGCTGTCATGATCTCTAAAACTTTTCCAGGTCAAATCGTTTGAAACTACTACAGTAAATACATGACTCTGCTTCTAGCCGGTATAGTTGATTTTCAAAGAGAATGAAATACTCCCTCTGTTCACAAATATAAGATGTTTTGTATATTTCAATATGGACTACAATACAGACTGAGATGAGTGAACAAACACACTAAAACATGTCTATATACATCCGATTCAGGAAAAAGTTAGAATATCTTATATTTGTGAACAGAGGGAGTAGTATTTAGTCTTGTTGTCCTGGAAGCTATACTGATAAAATACAAAGCAGGAGCAAACATATGATATACGTTCACATCTGGGTGAACATATTTCCAAAAGATATTTGAGAATATCTTAACTGAATCATCTTAATATCTTATAATTGACTTGCCATATTTTGAGCAACAAGGGAGCAGAATTTTTAGTTTCCTAGGGTGTCGCGTACTCATGTGTAATTTTGCATGCATCAACATATGTGATAGAAAGATGACTTGTCCTCACAGTACATTATACATCTCATTTTAGTGCCAGTACATTTGATTGATCGGTTCCAAGGCAACAACGAGAAAAGACTGGCAAGATATCCCTTTTAGAGGCTGCCAACATTATTTTGACTGCGCTGGGCAATTCTAGTAAAGAGTATAGCAAGACCAAACAAATAAGTTAAAGCAACTTCGGGAAGCCAATAAAGCTTAATGTTCACCAAATCGGCACACTGGACATCAATGGTGATTATGCAGGGTGGTTTATTTCAATCTGAAAGAAGGAACCTGCACTAACTGAGGCATAACATGCAACCTTTGCAAGACTATGTCAAAGTTTGCGGTTTTGTATCTATGCCTACACTAGAAAACTACTTCGCTGATTATAGACCATCAAAACCATAATACAGTTCTATCTTGCAGCAATACTTATATCATTAGTGATGTCACACAGAATTAAGTGACGGCTATTGTATATCATGACACAGGTTGACAATGGCTTCAGCATTAGTAATATGCTCCTGAACAGCTGAACTCATACCTTACACATGATTCATAATTAACATTGATTAGCGTTAGCCAGCACATTTTAGGCAGACGATATGATATAAAGATTTGACCAGGCCTCTTACTTTGCATACTTTCTTCTTGAAAGACACAGGCTTAAGAAAGCCCAAGAAAGGAATATACGAGGGGCCGTGCAACAATAGTTTTTGTCTTCGCTTTTCTGCAAAACCAATAAGACTTTAGATATGTATGGGATACTATACCGATAGTTTATATCTTCATACTAAAAAACGAAGTACAATATTTTCAAAAAGGAACTCCGCCTATGTCTTCTAGGCATAGCCGGTCCCAAGCCCGGGTAAAGGAGGAGGGTTGTGATAGGCTTGGCGAGCCAACGTAAAAACTAGCCAGTCCCATAGGTATGAAACCCATTTGAGCGAGAATAGTACTAGGATGGGTGACCTCCTAGGAAGTCCTCGTGAAAGGGTTTCATATCTAAGGGTTGTGATAGGCTTGGCGAGCCAACGTAAAAACTAGCCAGTCTTTTGGGTATGAAACCCATTTGGGCGAGAGTAGTACTAGGATGGGTGACCTCCTGGGAAGTCCTCGTGAAAGGGTTTCATATCTAGCCTACCCCAACTTGTTTGGGATAAAAGGCTTCGTAAGTAAGTAAGTAAGTAATATTTTCAAAAAGGATTCCCACATTTTCAGAAATCACTTATCGTGGCCTTATTTTAAACACATATCAACAGCTTCAATTGCCCTTTGTATCATCTCATGAATAGCTTAGATAATAATGAAAGAATGAGAAGAACTAACAGAAAAGGAAATGTTTGTATCACCAAAAAACAGTATTCTCTATTACGTGCTCAAGAGAGTAAAGTTGCAGTTAGTAAATGTCGATATGTTGCCAATTCAGACAAATTAATGATGAATAGTTCATATCACCTGATCTAGCTGTAGATATATCCACCTTATCTGCATAATCATAATTTAGTGGCCCCTCATCTATTTTAGCAACATCTTTCTCTAATGAAGCATTGGGTTTCTTTAAATTCTGTTCTTCCAATTCATTATTTTCCCGAGTTTCATCACTGGACCCCTTATCATAAACAACAGCAGCTGAACTGATCTCTTGACCACTGAGAGTATTTTCCACTGATATCATTCTTATTGCATTTCTGTAAACCGGTTCGACCTTATAACTGTCAGTACTTTTGATGTCTTCATCCACATTTTGCTCTACTTGATGAGCTGGCAGTACAATGTCTTCGCATAAATCAGTACTCAATGGAACTGTAAGATTTAATGGCGTCTCATCATCTCGCCCACCAGTTGAGCACCCCAATGATTCCGCAGCATCTCTGTGAGTCTTTGAGTCAACTGGAACATCATCAGGTTTGTCCAGGCACTTACCCTCGAGGCAAACATCAGAACATGAAACAATTTCATGATCCAGAGGTGCCTGTTCCTCCCTATCACCAGATGTGCGGATATACCCCTGATTTGCACAAGTATTAGTATGATCTACGATTTTACTAGGTTGGTCAGGATCCTTGTTCTCAAGACTAGTGTCAAAAAGCTCCATGCTCTGGGGAAGAGAAGAACATGGTAACTTAACATCGGAGGATAAAGGAGTACCGTCACCTGAAATGAGGTTTAATGTGCACAATTCTGTAGCATCTAATTCCATTGCATCCTCAACAAATTCAACATGCTCCTCAATGCATTTCTGGTCAACAGAAGAGGCAACACAAGCCTGCATACTGCCAGCCATAACAATTTCATTGTTTTCAGGGTTAACCATGATGGTGTGAACAGCGCCACTGTGAGCTTCGCTTCTGTTAGCCTGTAAGGTTTCCTCTTGAGTTTCAACTGGAATTTCACTATCATCAGTAGACTGCTCTAACCGGTCGGCAAAGAGAGACACATCAGCATCATGGCGTTTTTGACACAACACTTTGGCGGGAAAATTCGTGGGTGAAACAGGTAGTTCATCTTTGTTGGGAGAAGGTTCTAGATTTGTCTCCAAAGTTTGTCGATCACCTTTAAAAGATATAGGATCCAAACCAATCCAGTCACCAACCTTATACTTTGTTGAATTTAGTTGCTCATTTGGTAACAGTCTATCGATTCGAATTGTCTCTTTGTAGAAATGTTTCTTCCTCGTAGCCTTGGAAATAAGCAACCTGATAATGACATAATATTGCATTATGATTCATGGTGAAATGGGTGCCTTCCTAAATAGAAAGTTGTGCAAAGTAAAATGACACAACAGCTGGTAGGTTGCAAACGCAGACGTGGAGCTAAAGCTAAATAAACTACTCCCTCCCTTCTTAAATATAAGACCTTTTAGAGATTTCAATATGGTTACATACGGAGCAAAATGAGTGAATCTGCACTCTAAAATATGTCTATATACATCTGTATGTAGTCCGTATTGAAATATCTAAAAGGGCTTATATTTAGAAATGGAGGGAGTAGAAGTTGTTTTCCCACCAAAACCCAACGATCACCCTCTTGATAGGAATACAAAGGAGTTCTTGAAAACATAGAAAGAAAATGGGCAGAAATAAATAGGAGGAGAAAAAAGAAGAGACTTCTAAAGTCTAGACTAACTCATAATCCGTCAAATAAAGGATGCCAATGTTCATGAAATAGTTAACTGGTAACTCCTCGGCCGCTGGCGCATAGAGGATTAGTACGGAATCAGCCAGTAAGTCTGCCAGAAAATCAGTTAATCGACTACTTGGTGACCCACTGAGCAGGGATTAATCGGTCAGTTAACTGATTTATCGGCCGATATTTTTGAACAATAAAGAATGCTAAGATAAAAACATGCATTCATAGTAGTACGAGAAACTAGCCACATCAGCAAATCATTACATGGTTCAGGCCATGTGGAATAAGAAGTTTGAACCTCTCCAGGTAATAGATATATGACTCACCTGCAGTTTACGGACATAGCAGCTTTGGCTCGCTCCATAGAAAGACCAAGCAAAAATGCACATAAATTTATGACATCATAGGGGCCTCTAATTTCATTAGCATTATGAGCAGCACTTGAAATGATGAGATTCTTTCCTTTAGTCCAGTCCACCAACAGCTACAAACAGAAGAAAAATACTGTATATTAGCAAAAGAAACAAGTGAGCTGAGCTGAGGGCATGTTTAGTGCAAGGGGGTTGAGAAACAAAATTCTAAGCTAGGGTGCAGATGTCTCTGCAAACCAGTGGTGTTGAGCATAGTGAAGGTGAGAAGAATTTGTTAGACAAAACGAAACACAAGCAATATGCGCGTATGTGCACTAGGTTGCAGATCATGGTGGTAATGAATAATACTATATCACTAAACACGATTATTAAATGATGTTTGAATTCAATGTGAAGGAACAATGAAAGCAGAGCAAGATAAGTAACCTTGGCTTCGGCCAGGACTTGTCTCCTTGAATTGACATCATCGATGAGGGGAGAGTATGCAATCTCAAAGTGTATCCCCCTCTGCGGTCAGATAGAGATATAGTTAGCTGAGCACACACATGGACATTGAACATTGGTTCGGTTAGAGTGGTGAAGGAGGTTGGTTACCTGTAGTGCAAGCTTGATCATTGGGAGCTTGAGACGGAATGGCAGTTTGTGAGAGAAGTCGATGGAGATGACATCAATCTCTGTGGCGGACTGGCAGAGGTGGTCGAGCGCGGCCTGGGTGAGAGGGCGCGCCGCGACGATGTCGTATGTGCGGAGGAGGCGGGCGGCGGAGGGGGCAAGCGCGGACGCGGCGGCGGCAGCGGAGTCGAGGGAGAGGGTGATGCGCGTGTACTGGCGGAAGGGCTCGGAGGTAGGGGATCCATTGCGGGACCGGTGGAGGGAGGCAGAGGGGGGGAGCGGGAGGGAAGACAAGGCGGGGAAGGGAGCGGTGTGGCAGCGGTCGGCGTCGGCGAGTAGGCCGCGGTGCGGGTGATCGAGGGCGACGGCAGCGTAGCCTAGCTCGAGGGCTCGTGCGGCGGCGAGAAGGCGGGAGTTGGAGTTGGGGGAAGGGAGGAGGCTGAGGTCGAAGAAGAGGAGCGCCATGGATTCGCGCCGCCAACTCCGTCTGGTCCGTCCGTCCGTCCGGGGGAAGAAAGAGCACAGGCCAGCAGTGCCGGTTTCACATGATAAATTGCAGGCCCATGTTTAATTTAGAGTTCATAAAGCCCATCTCAGCTCCACTTCAGGCCAGCCTTTCTACCTCACAAAGCCCAATTCATTCAATCCCCTCCCCTCAACACGACTGAAGAAAAAATTATTTGTCAAAAATAAGACTGAAAAAAAAATTGGCACCCCCAGCCGACGCGCGGGGCCAGCCATGTGGTGCGCTCAGCTGACGCCACGTGTCGTGTTGGCCACATCCATGGGAGCATTTGTTTGGAAAACACTTTGTTCATCTGACTTATCTCATAAATCTTCACGAGTCCCTTTTGCTGGATTCTTCTTCATCTTTCTTTGCCTCCCATTCCCCAAATCTTCTCTCCCTCGCCTCCCTTTCTATCTCTGCTCACTTTCTACCTCCACACTTTGTCCAAATCAAGAGAACATCGGCTAGCCAGCGCAACCGGCGTTACATGACTCTTCCTCCTCTCTGTTGCTGCAAGATGGACTTGCTGCTCTAGGCCACGCTGCTCGCCGTCGGTGTCAAAGATGGGCGGCGCTCATATGTTGCATTCGAGCCACATCAACCTCCCCTAACTTGGAGAATCGTCATTGTTGTATCCCTCGTCGTAGCAACCGCATTGTTGCAAGCCTCCTCCCCGGAGCGGGGCGCCGTTGCAATCCGGTGACGGGAACCCATGCTGTGTTGAAGCATGCAATTGTGTGTGTTGTTCGCGAGGATGGCATTGGATAATGGCGCTGTCAATGAGGATGGCAACGGCAAGCGTGCTCCGACGCTGCTTCAAGGAGACAACCGAGGGGAGCTGCTGCGATCATGCTACGAGGGCTATCCCATGCTTCTGCAAGAGTACATGATATGAAGTTGGCAAGGGTTGTTGGATGCAAGCGGGCTATTATGAGGGTGTTGAGGAGCAGCCAACTATGGTGCACAGCCGACGTGCAGGGATGGGAATGAACTAGGATGGTATACAATCAAAAAAGTGAGCTTACTATCACGGCCCCACGCTTTAGCAAGCGACTGATCAAGGTGCTAAAATCCCCCGACTGATTCCTAGCAGACGCCTTTTTGTTTTCTGCAATGTGTTTTTAGATATATATTTTTGTGTGTTTTTGGATTTTTCTTAGTTTCTTCTAGGTTTCTCTTGATTTTTAGTTTGATTTTGTTTCTTCGGGTTTTTTACATGTGTGATTTTCTGTGTGAAGTACATAGTGTGAAAGCATAATTGTGCTTTCCGGTAAAGTACAGTGATACTTTGGCGTCAAGCACACTTGTGCTTTTGCATGAAGTACAAACTATGTTTTCTGCTTCCTCAAAAAGTTGAAAATAACGACGTAATGAGATATCTATGAATATTGCTCAAGTCAAGAAATATAGAAAGATTGTCAGGATAAAGAAACAGCAAGAAAAAACAACAAACTCTTTGTTTGCGAAATGAAGAAAACATCAATCGACTATAGGATGGTACTAACTTTGTTACCTTATTTTTTTCCTTACACACAATATTTTAATATTCAGACAATAAATTTATGAATATCTTTGATTTCAGTGCTTTCTAAAGCGGTTCATTGATAATTACCTCCGAACCCACATATATGCTCAAGAGGCAAGGAGGATATTCATACAACACTTACGGTACAATGTTGAAGTCTTCCTCAAGAGGGCGAAGGACGGGCGGGCAATCATCCATATGCGCTGGCCTAGAGTTGCGCACATTTTTAAGATCAACGAAGGCACAAAATTTACCTTCCGCTTCAAAAAAAATTTAGATGAGATTTATCTGCCTATTTACCATCTATGATGCCACTTTCGGTTCTGAATGTTAAATGTGAAATGATTATCGGGCGCATGTTTAATTTGGTGCTTGTGTACTGTGATACTAACTATATGGTGTATTGTGATGTTAATTATGAAATCCTAGTGGGCATATGATGTAGTGAAATATATTGTGTTGGATATCGTGGTGAACATTTGTTAGATATGAAATATGAATTTACTTATTATAGGGAATAAATAACAGACTAATATACCTGTTCATTGAATTATTTTATTGCACATGGTTCCATACAAAGGTGTGTGGGCAATGAACACATCTGTAACACACATGATTGCTATAAATTAAGGCCTCCTTTGGTTCGTAAGAATTTTGTGGGAATCTCATATGATAGGATTTGTATAGAAAAATTAATATTAGATCCCTTTGGTTTATAGAAATGAAATCTTATTCCTATGGAGGAATTCTTCCTATCCTCCACATTTCATAGGAAAATAAACATTAGCCTAGACTCAATGAAAAAAATCCTATGATGTGAACCAAAAGGCATCTTCTTTCATATTTCTATTCATATGATTTCAGATACATGTCATCTCATTTCCTATGACTTTCCTATTCCTATAATTTTTCTACCCTATGAACCAAAGAAGGCCTAAAGCGTGTAGGATGGACGAACAATCACACACAGTTATGTAGTAGACAACATGTGTGATGAACTAAGTAACCCACATGCTCCCCACGCCACATCATGTGCGATGAATGACCCCATCTAACACTATTGCATGTGTCGGATCATGTGTGCTGTGTTTGTGTAAGTGCATATAGTGCCACCCCTAGTTGGTTTTGGAGTATTGACGACAAACCTAGTTGAGGGACTAATGTGTTTGTAAGAATTGCAGGATAACACAGGTAGAAGTCCCTCATTGATTCGGTTTTGCTACCAGAGATGACCCCTAAAAATGTACAAAGACATTGAAGACAATGGTGGTATATGAAGATATTCACATTGAAGACTATGACAAGAGAAGACACCACGTGAAGCCTATGGAACTCGAAGACTTAGATCCTTCGTAGTTTTATTTCATTTGTGTTGAGTCATAGGAACCACCGTACTGTTAAGTGGGGTCCAAGAGAACCAGTCAGAATGACTGAAGTGATGCCTAATTCAAAACCTATGTCTTCGAGCAAAGACTATGAGAGCAAATCTTGTCCAGAGACGGACAAGTCAGCTTTACTTGTAGCCCAAGTAAAGTTGCCGTGTGAGTTCGAAATCTGACCGTTGGAACACGTGTCAGTTCCTTAGTGACCCAGGGTCATTTCGGACAAATCAGGCCGGGTTGCCCAGTGGCTATAAATAGTCCACCCCTACAACCATAAACAGTAGGCTGCTCAGATTTTAGTGCATTGCTTTTGTCGTTGAGAGCAACCCACCTCGAAGCCTTTAAGAGAAAATTCCTAGTGAGGAGAAAAGCCCTAACCACCCAGAGCCAGAGTAAATTGGGCATCACTTAAGTCTTCTTGTCTGAGTGATCTGAAGACTTATTACACTTGAGGACTGTGCATCCTCCAGACGGTTAGGCGTCGCGTTCTGAGCATCCAAGAGCAATTGTGGATTGCCGGTGAATGAAGTCTGTGAAGGTTTGGGAGTCTACCTTGAAGACTTACCAGAGTGATTGGGCGAGGTCTGTGTGACCTTAGCTCAAGGAGAATACGGTGAGGACTGGGTGTCCTGAGCTGCGTGTTCAGGACTGGGTGTCCGGGACTGTGTGTCCTTTGGTTTAAATACCTAGCCGCTCCAACCAGACATATAGTTGTCACAGCAACTGGAACTGGTCCAACAAATCATTGTCTTCAACGCATCACTGGTTTCATCTTCACTTCCTTTTAACTTACTGTTATTCATTGTGAAGCCATTGCATGCTTGCTCTATCTTTTGTCTTCACAACGTAACTGTATGATTTGATTGGCTTCATAACTTCTTCCTACCTGATCCTTATTACACTGCAGCTATTTGTCATTGTGCTTTCACTCTATTGAATACTTGACCATGGCTTGCCTAGTGTAATCTAACTTCCGCTGCATAGTGATAGGCATATCTCTACTGTTTCTCTTCATAACTTCCACGTTTTGAAAACTTTCATAAAAATCGCCTATTCACCCCCCTCTAGTCAATATAACGCACTTTCAATTGGTATCAGAGCAAGGTGCTCCCTTGTTCTGTGTGATTCGGTTTAACCACCTAGAGTTTTAGCTATGTCGACTGCAGGGATAATCAAAGTCTCCGCTGCGTGCCCCGTCTTCGATGGAATTGAATATCCCTACTGGAAGAATAAGATGCGCATGCATCTTGAAGCCATTGACCTCGACCTATGGTATGTCGTCGAGAACGGCGTTCCCAAGGCTGGAGAAGGTGTCACTGCTGCTGATGTCAAGAAGTTCACTCAACTGGACTCTACTGCCAAGAATTGTTGGGTTTCGTAGTAATTTCAAAAAATTTCCTACGCACACGCAAGATCATGTGATGCATAGCAACGAGGGGAGAGTGTTGTCTACGTACCCACCGCAGACCGACTGCGGAAGCGATGACACGACGTAGAGGAAGTAGTCGTACGTCTTCACGATCCAACTGATCAAGCACCGAAACTACGGCACCTCCGAGTTCGATCACATGTTCAGCTCGATGACGATCCCCGGACTCCGATCCAGCAAAGTGTCGGGGAAGAGTTTCGTCAGCACGACGGCGTGGTGACGATCTTGATGAACTACAGCAGCAGGGCTTCGCCTAAACTCCGCTACAGTATTATCGAGGTATATGGTGGCAGGGGGCACCGCACACGGCTAAGGAATAGATCACGTGGATCAACTTCTTGTGTCTTTTGTGCTAGCCCTGCCCCTCTATTTATATGTTGAGCCCCGGGGTCGAAACTTGGAGCAAAAGCCTCCTCAAAGTCGGTTTTGTGCTAACATCTTTCAACACAATTTTCTCTAGGAACATATCAAAATAAACACAGGGAAGCAACAACACGAGCTATTGATCTACAACATAATTTGCAAAATACTACCAGGACTAAGTTCATGATAAATTTAAGTTCAATTAATCATATTATTTAAGAACTCCCACTTAGATAGACATCCCTCTAATCCTCTAAG